AAGATGAGTAGTATGAAATGTCACTATTGTTAGAAGAAAATATACAAACAATAAGCACTTAAATGAGAGGGGACTTCACTTGAAAGCCTTGAGTTATAAAAACTAATGTAATCCAAACTTGAAAAGTTAAAAACATGTATTTGATAACTAGTAGGGAAGTTATTTAATCAAAATGGATAATAAATTTTTATATTTTAAAACACATTTGTTAAGATCAAACGATACTTGACACTTTAAAAACTAATGAAGAATTCAATCATTTTAAATTAGGAAGTAATAGCAAAATAAAGGTTAAAGGCATTGTAAGTGTGAAAATAAAGTTCCAGAACTAGAGATATAAATGAGTCGGGTTGAGTTAGGTTAAATTTGACCTAATTTAAGATTTAACGCAATAAAACATAATTGAGTTTGATTAAGTCAAATTTATGTTTTTTTTTTGTCAAACAATCCAATCCAGTTTAATCTGATTTAATTGAATCGAGTTACGTTGACTAATCAAGTCAATTTATTACATACTAATATATTCTAAAACTTGAAAAAAATTAAAAACAAAAATAAAATATAAATTATATGATTAATATTTATATAAATTATATAACTAATAAATGTCCCAAACAACATTAATATAATTATTTGATCAATTGATATTTCAACCAAATACATAATTAATATTTTAATAATAATATTAATTTAGGTCAAATTGAGTCAAATTAATTATATTAGAAGTTCATTAACATATTACTAATTTCAATTTAATTGAATTAATTAGAATATGTTTAACCTAACCCAATAATTCAATTTCAATCCGTTAAAAATGTAATTGAGTTAGAAAAAAAATGATCAACTTCGTATGTGGATAACGGGCTGCTTATACATCTATGCAAACCTACAACTATGATTTTTGATAATGATCTCATGCAATAATTTTGCTAATAAATGTTTTATTTGTCCTGTTTTTGTTTTTATTTTTATTTTTATTTTGTCAAAGACCTAAAATTTAATTTTTGTTCCGACCTGACCCAAAGAATTCATATTAGTATTTGTGCTTTTTCTCGTTTGTGTTGGTTATATCTAAACCAAACACATGCATAATAAGTCCCATAGTGATCATTATAACCCATCTTTTCAATTGGATGAAACATTGGATCTATCCTTAACGCATTTGGTAGCTCAATCCTTAGCACATCTTTTCAGTATCATAATTGACTTCTAGATCTCAAAAACAAAGCATGGTATCAGTTGAAGGTTAATGAAAATGGAACAAAAATTTTATTACAATAACAAGAAATTGACCTTTATTAACTGGCCTTTTTGGTTCTTTTCTTTTGCACATTTTCTTATTTCTGTATTTTATTTTTCCCATCTTATCTGTGTTGTAGGCCATGGGGCGTTTCTCCTATCACTAATTAAAGGCACCATGGTTGGTGGGAAAGAAGACATAAAAAGAACTTGGTCCATGTCCTGAAAGGGTTCATTTTGTTGCAGCAATGAATTACCCCTTTCTCATTCACAATTGACTAGTGAAGAGAATTTTATAACCTCCATAACTCTTTCTTCTCTTCAACTTTGTAATTTATGGTCCAACTTTGTGATTTCTTACGGTAAACTTTATATATTAAATGTCCAATCTTCCAATACATTAAAGCTAGGTGTAAAGATCAAATAACCCCTGTCCACTTGTTTCCTTTCAAGTCCTAACCTTTTTATACCATTATATTTTTTCTATTAGCTTTATATAATCAACATCACAATTATTGGGTTATTAATTTTTTTTTAGAGATTAGTATTAAGTTGTTGATGTAAATAATATTGAACTCAATATTTTTAAACAAGATTTTAAATTTGAGTTATATATATAGAAAAAAAGTGGTTAAGATGAGAGACCTCATTAATGACAATCAATCGATTTTTTTATCAGGAATTAGTCATTGATAATTAAACAAATTTTTTTTAAGATTTCACAATATAATATATTAAAAGAGTGTTACCGATACTCTTTTTAGCACTCATTTGATAACATTTTCTTTATTATTGGTTGAAATTCATCGAAACTCGCAAATTTTGTGAATTTCACATTTTATTTAACGAGTCTCTATCCTAATTTTGTGATAAGATCCACTAGAATTTGTAGTTTTCAACCAATTATTGGAAGAGTATTAGGAAGTGAAAATTTATGTAAGTGTCACTAATAAATTTTAATATATTATTACTTCATATTTTAAGTTAACACATTTTAATATGATATAACAATGTTATTATCACATATTTAATTTTTTATTTCGTGCTAGATTAGCTAAAAATTTCCTTTTTCTTAAAACATTTTCTAATAAAATGATTTTTTTTTATTTCCTCTTCAATTTTTATGTATGGCCATATTTTGAGATGACAACGAGGTGGGACGAGTGTGAATTTTGATATCTTGGTCCTTATCTCCAAGTTTATATTTTATATCCATCTTGGTTTCTATATCTGACATTTTTAAAATTTTTGTCTCATCTTTGTCCTTATCAAGTATTGGATATATTCGTACTTGTCTAAAAATTAATTAAATATTTTTTATTAAAAAAATATAAAATACAAGAATTTCAATATAGAATAACAATTACAAAATTACATTAATTAAGTTTTATTTAATATAAATTTAAAATATAATAAAAATTATATAAATCTCAAGTAAATTTTTAAAAAAAGTAAATTAAGTTCCTAAAAATTTAAAGTGGGGATCAATATAAAGATACAAGTACGGGTGGACAAGTATATATCTATCTCATTTATGTATCTAATTTAATAAATTGAATATTATTCATACATGTACCCTATCTAATCAAATTTCATATTTTTTTTATAAAATCAAGACAGATTCAAATATTGTTTATAGGTATGAATATTTTATTGAGAAACATGCTTTAATCTTGATAACAACACTTTTTTTTTGTTAATTAAAAAAGATATAACATTATTCAATTATGACGAAAGAGATACATGGTATAGGAAGAAGGGTATACTAATGGAAGACAAAATGACACAAGTGGAAATCCATTTTACACAACAGAGATTTTTCTCCATGATAGACTCCCTGACCAATGTAGGGGAAAAAAGTTGCATTAATTGAATCCAGTTCCTGAACTTTCATTAATAAAACCCACATGGCTATGGCAAGAAAAGGGTAGGTTAAAAATCATGCTCCACACTTCTATGGTTTTTGGGGCTAACTTTTGAAGGCAGGAACAAAAATTAAAGTTAGCATTACTTTGACTATAGTAACTCACTTTTATCAAAGCTCATATGATGCCGTTTCAAAAAGATATTCCTAGTTCAAAAAGAAATTCATTTTCATGCATCATTCTTTTCTTACTTTATCATATAATTTTACATTTACATATTAAGTTTAAATATATTAATAATATATACCTTATACACACATTAACAACTATATTAATTAATATACTTATATAACCACACATCGTTAGAAAATAACACTTTTTTCAAAAATAATCTTTGGAGAAGCAATGCTTAATTATCTACATTCAAAGAAAAAAAAATAAAAGAAATAGAATTACCGTAATGTTAGCCGTGTATTTCTCTAAATATGCTCTTTCTTATTGATTATTATTATTATTATTTTAAAATAACAAAGTTTTGTAAATCTTATATTTGATTTAATGAATTTCTCAAAATTTTATATTTTTTTTATAATTTTCAAATCAATAATAAATAAATTAAATAATATGTTTATAGTACTTTTAAAAAAATTTATAATAAATAATATTATATATATATATAATATATATATATATATCGTCCATTCCTAGAACTTGTAAGTGTTCGTGTAAGAGAGCCTAGAGTGAGAAACTCCTTCTCTCTTGCCTTTGTATTTCTTATTCAATCAATACAACTCTTTTGTATTAAATCTTGTTCTTTCTTGCATTACATTTCTGCATCATAAAGTTTGTGAAAACTTGGGATTTGTAAGCCTGACTCGTCAGGTGTGCTCTTGATACCCAGTATTGTGCGGATTACTGCCGTGTAAATCTGGTTTACTGCTGCATCTGCACATTCCTTCTTCCCCTCTTTCCTAGATCCACTTCAGGGACATCTGGTATCAGAGCCTGATGGGGAAGTAGGAATTTATGGCTGGATCTAAGTTTACCTTTACTATTAAAATTATTATATAAGGATGTTATGTTCTGGATCTATCAACTATGTTTTCCCCTTTTTGTATCTGCCTATATATATATATATATATATATAGAGTGACGATACAAAAAAAAAACACCATATGCACTTCATCTTCTATCTTACTTATATCTAATTCTTTCTCTTAATTTCTCTCTTCAAATTTTATTGTATCACATATTATATTTATCATTATTTTTTTATATTAAATCCAATTCATCTATTTAAAGATGTGAAGAATGTATATTACTACCATAAAAAAAATTACATAAAGTGACATACAAAAACTAAATATAATTATAAATATAATATATGTAAATGTAAATCTATTTAACATTTAATTTTATAAGATTATAGTATTTATATTAAATAATATCTAATAATATATTACATGTCATTATAATTTATACTTGTATTTTTTTAATAATATATATATTATATTTATAATATATATATATATATAAATAATTTTTAATAATAAATATTGTATTATTATAAAGTATATCATTATATGGGAATTTTTTTTTATGACAATAAGGTTAAATTATCTAAATATGTGATCGTTACCAACTCTAGTAATTTCCATGTAATAAATGATGTGATCAACAAGGGAAAAGAATTATGAGTGATACTAGGACTCAATCAATGAGATATTTGCATTGCAGCATGTGGGCATACATCATTATTTTATAATTTTTCATTTAGAAAGAAAGCAATAAAAATAAAAAAATAAAAAAAAAATAAAAAAAAAAAAAAAGAGAAAAAGGAAAAAATCTATAGACTCTCTCGCATTCAACGGAAAGTAACCAACCTAGCTAAATTCAGAAAAGAATAGAAAAAGAAAAAAAGAAGGTCATTATAGAGTCCTTGACACACACAACAAGCTCTCACAAATTGACACTGCCTTGGCAGAACCAAGCAAGGGAAGAGAGAAGAAAGAAAGAAAGTGAGTGAGTGAAAAAGTTTTGGCCCGTGGTGTGATTTAGTAGCACCACCATGTTACCATGTTGATGTTGGATTCTTAAATCTCCAACACCATCTTTCTCTCTCTTTCTCTCTCTCAAAATCCAAAACCCATGATCACCAATTTGATCCGCAAATTTGGCTAATCAATTACCTCACTCACTCTTTTCTTTTCCTTCTTTCAAAACCCAACCAGATCTCCCATCCAGATCTCCGATTCCCGAACCAAATGTTCCAACTTTGGAACTTCTGAGGCACCCCTTTGTCTTGTTTCTCCGACCCAGAAGACGTTTTAACGTTGTTTGTCGGAATCTGGTTGAAAGTTGTGTTCTTTGGGAGCGATGACTTCGGGGACGAGGCTACCCACGTGGAAGGAGAGAGAGAACAACAAGAGGAGAGAGAGGAGAAGAAGAGCCATAGCTGCCAAGATCTTCGCAGGTCTTAGGATGTATGGAAACTTCAAACTCCCCAAACACTGCGACAACAATGAAGTCCTCAAAGCTCTCTGCAACGAAGCTGGTTGGACCGTTGAACCCGATGGAACCACTTACCGAAAGGTACCATTTTTTTTCTTCTTTTCTTTCTATTTTCACTCCCCATTTTAGCTTCTTTGATTTTAGTTATAACCTTTGAAGTAGATAGATTAAATGCATTGTCTTGAATGTTCTCCAGATGGCGTTGACGAACATTTAAGCTTTAAAGGACATTTCTTTATAGACAAAAATAAAATTAGTTTAAAATTAAGGTTTCTTGTTTTTGTTTTAAAATGTTATTGGTTAGAAATATTGATCAACTACTTTGTGTTGAAAAAATTAGTTCCGTTCCATCCCTTTTCGTGAGTAATTAACACCGGAACCTTTGAAGATTGAGTTCAGCTAATTACTTTCTAGTAATTAATTATGGTGAATTGTTTGAAAAAATTAAATATAAAAAAAAATCATGTTTAATTGTTTGGCACTTGTTTGTATTTTTGTTAATGATTTAAAAAAAAAACTTTAAATAGTTTAGTTTTGTATCGCAATAAAGATTTTTTTAATAAATTTTAATTGTTTAAAGCTTAATAATAAGTTGCTGCGTTTTGTGGTGTAATAAATATATTTAAAAAAACATTTTTTTTTTGTTTTAATATATGTAATGGAAAAAATAATTATTTTAGCCGTAAATCGGATGAAGATGAGATGAGATCTTGGACAACACGGAAAGAAGGTTTGACTTCTTAACCGTTAATTGGAATCCGAAGACTTTGTATATTTTAGGCTGTAACATTGCTCTCTACTCTTAAATTTTTTTGTACTAAAAAATATTAATTAATGTTATTTTCTCTTATTCTAATGTTATTTTTTTTTTTTTTAGTATGTGTGTTTAAAATGCACCCAGTCCTGACGTATTCATAAAAAAAAAATACATTCAAAGTTAGAATTAAAGCTTACTTAATAATCATATAACCACTTATTTGATTTAAGGACCAAAATTCATTTCTTTAACACTCTCTTAATAAAACTTCTCTTACTTCTTGTGGGTGTATATAAGTTAAATTTAATTTTTAGATAACTTAATCCAAAGAGGTTCACTTACATAGAATTTCTGTGAATGTAAATTTAGAAGTTTTCTACCGAAAGATGCTAAGAGATTGATCTTAGGATTTATGTATATAAAAAAAAATTTGCTTGATAAAATTAATTTTTTAATTCACCTAAAAAAAATCCTTAAAAAAAAATTATATAATCCTTAGCTGTGTACGATGGATCCGGTGGACAGTGGTCCTGGCATCGTAGTGGGAAAGCATCAAAGATTCGCTCTCTTTCTTGACTGATGGTCACCTGAGAAACCAGGACAATTTTTTGTTTTTAGTCTTTTACATTTTCACGGGACGGAAATGCCCTCGAGGCGTGCTTCAATCATTGCGTGAGAGTGGCAATTTGGTAAAATGGAGGGGGCAAATTTGCCAGCTTATGTGTTCGGGTGGTTGGTGTGTTTGTTTGTTTGCTTGTTATTTTGCTTTGCTTTGTAATGTCCGTGTTGCTGTGTGGCATGGTAGCATTAGCTTTTTGACTTTTTCAGACAGCGTGGCCACGTAGGATTCCATTTTCGAGTGTCTTTTGCTTCATCATTGACCCTTCTTTTGTGACGGGCTACTCCAATGTCACTGTTCATTCTTTTTCCTTCTCCTGAATGAGAGAGACTTGCTTGAGATGAGTGCTTATAATTAGTATCACATGTCTTTAGTTTTTCTTTATCTGTTTCGATAAACTTTTTATCATCATTTCTATATAAATAAAAAAAAATTGCAATGTAAGAAAGTCTAAGATTCGTGTCATAAATTAACCGCATTGTCTAATGCTTGTGTGCATGCATACCGTAATTCATTGCAGAACTACAATACAACCAGTCAATAACTACACAAATTCATCATTTGGTGCATTACTTTAAAACTTTCATTTTTTCTCCCAATTAGGTTCAACGTGTTATCATATATTTTACTGCTTTTATAGATGATGCTTGCATGGGCCAAGGCTTACACCGGTTATAATTAGAGATGAGAATAAGTTGGTCTTTTTACAAGAACTTATAATTTGTTCTATTTAAAGACTAATTTAGTCTAATCTATTTTACAAAAATGTCAAATTTGAGTTTTTAAAAACAGTCTATTATTTAAAAAGGTTGAACTTAGATTTATAAGAAAAATATATTAAGTTTGATAGGTCAATCTATTTATTTATGATATAATAATAATTAATATATATATATATATATAACATTATTAAAAATATATTTAAATAAATAAATTTGTAATACAAAATTCAAATTATCAATATTTTTTACATTTTTAATATACTTAAACGTTTATATTCTTTATTTGTACGAAATCAAGATATCAAAAATAAAAATTCTAGTAACTACATCTTTGCCTACCCTTTTCCTTTATCTTCATAATTGATTATTTAGAATACTTCAAATGTGATATAGGAAATATTTAGAAAGTTTTTTTTTAATAAGATAATTTTCTTTATTATAGTTTGTGCGTGACTGTATATCGGTGTATATTAATGTATATGAGTATGTAAGAGTTGTCTCTCAATTAAATTTTTATTTTAAATTCTAAATTTTAATAATAGAGTAAACTATTTTTTATTATGCAAATTAAAAAAGATTTATCATACAAATTAAACAAAGACTTCCATGTATATTTAAAATATGATTGTTAACTTATTTAAAATTAAATTTATTAACTTATTTAATGTTAATGCAAAATAGTTTTTTAAATAGGCTAATAGGTCATGTTTGACTTTAAAAAGGTCATGTTAGACCTATAAAAAAAAAAGCCATAATAGATAATGTATTTGATTTAAACTTTAATTTTATAAAACAAATTTGTCTTATATATTCAAAGTCTGACCTGACTTGATTTATTTTCATTCCTAGTTATAATACATTAGTTAGATTATCAATAATAGCAGTATTTTGGTTCTGCTACGGCCCTACGAGTATATCTCAGTCTATTGAGTAAGAGATTATGATAGTCATGTTATCAATCTTGAGTGATAACTCGTAATAACTACTGAGTTTACAAGATTAGTCGGTCCCATCTGTACAACTCAGAAATAAACTCGTTTTTGAGCAATCTCGTCCAATCTCGAGTAATCTCTTTCCCTCTGTTGCTAAAAGCAAAAATTGATCCTTTTTAATTTTTTATTTGTTATTTTAAGAACTTATGTCTTGTGTAAAATTTTGCATAATTTTCTACTAAACATTACAACTTTAATATTGTAATTTGTTATTTTACTTTAATATGAAGTTGAAATGTTGAGTTATTTTGGTATTTATAACTATTATAACATATTTTTTATATGCATAAAATTCTTATGAGTTTAGATTTGAGTGTATGATTGGAGTTTATGGGATCTTAATAAGATTAGATAAACTTTTGAGATTGACAATCTTGATGATAGTAACGCTATAAACTGAGAACATGCAGAGTTGGATAACTGACATGTACTGATATACTGTTACTTAATGAATATGGAATCACGAGAAGTATTAATTCATTCTCTATTCTCTGACATTCTTTTTCTAATTCACAATGTTTTATTGGTTGAAATTCATCTGAATTCCACTGATATGAGAGAGTATGTTAATAGTATTTTTCATCTAATCATTGTTTGATTATCTACCTAATTGGTATACTTGAAAGATTTTTGATCATGCAAATCCTATCTATATATATCTTCACTGCATTACGATCATTTAACTTCATTGAAACATTTTGTACAATCAGGGATGCAAGCCTTTAGAGCGCATGGACATAGTTGGTGGATCATCAGCAGCAAGCCCTTGTTCATCTTACCATCCAAGTCCATGTGCTTCCTACAATCCAAGCCCTGGCTCATCCTCATTTCCAAGCCCATCCTCATCTCCTTACACCACAATTCCTAATGCTGATGGCAATTCCCTCATTCCATGGCTCAAAAACCTCTCTACTGCCTCATCCTCAGCCTCATCTCCTAAGCTCCCCCACCTCTACCTCCACAGCGGCTCCATCAGCGCGCCGGTCACGCCTCCTCTGAGCTCTCCAACAGCCAGAACGCCACGAACCAACGTGGAGTGGGACGACCAGTCTGCCAGGCAGGGTTGGACCAGGCAGCAGCACTACTCATTCCTGCCATCTTCTAGTCCTCCAAGCCCCGGACGCCAGGTTGTTGACCATGAGTGGTTTGCAGGGATCAAGCTTCCTCATGTGAGTCCAACTTCACCAACATTCAGCTTGGTATCCTCAAATCCTTTCGCCTTCAAGGAAGACGGCTTGGCCGGCAGCGGCTCGCGAATGTGGACTCCGGCTCAGAGTGGAACATGCTCCCCTGCTGTTCCACCAGGCTCTGATCACACTGCTGACATTCCAATGTCTGAAGCTGTTTCAGATGAATTTGCATTTGGAAGCAACATGTTGGGGCTTGTCAAGCCATGGGAAGGAGAAAGGATCCATGAGGAGTTTGGATCAGATGATCTTGAACTCACACTTGGTAACTCCAAGACCAGGTACTTCATCATTATTACATCATTCACAACTGTTTAAATACAAGTTTGAAAGTACTTTCGAGAGCTTCTCTATCTAAAATAAGCTTTATTTTTTGGTAGAGAAACTCTTTCATATCCAAATAGATTTTAAGTGAATTTCTTTGAGAACAAATAATACATGCACTGATAACATAAAGGATTTTATACACTATTATCTAACCAAAATCCTATATGATAATTTTGTTAACTTTTATAATAACTATCATACATGTCATTCGTCTTGCATAATTTCTTAGTAGTTGACAGTGTAAAAACTCATTATATTAGTCTGTTTGGGTAAACTATTCAAAAGCACTTCTAGGAGAAAAAAATAGAAAAAATAAAATAAAATAAGTTTCTTTGTAAACTAAAATTAGTTTATTCATAAGTTAATTTGTAGAAACTCTCTTTTATTAACTTCTTCAAAAATCTTATTTTTAATTTGTGCATAAACTAATTTTAACTTATGCAAAAACTTATTTGGATTTGCTTTTCTATTTTTCTCTCCAAGAAATACTTATAGAAAAGTTTATTCAAATAGATATTTTGTTGGTGAAAAAATAAGTAATCTCTTTCTGTATAATATTTTTCTCCCCCCTTTAAACATGATATTTTATTTTTTATTTTTTTGGCAGATGAAGTCACAAATAGGAATGTCAGTAATTAAAGATTATGTGAACATTGACTTCTGTTGGTTTTGTTCAGTATATGTTAGAAGGTGAGTGCAAGCAGATGCTTTCTTTTATCCTTTTTTTTTTTGGTGACTTTCCCTTCTTCATTTTATAGTTCTCCAGTAATATACATGTTTAGTTAGGTGTGGGGTGGATTTGCATTTGCAACCCATTCATTTCATCATTGTACGTGTTGTTAAACCTTATTATTGGAAACATCAGTATACATTGTATGGATTGGCTTGGTTTGCCACTGAAAGAACTCCACAGATTGCAACCTAACTCAATGGCAAAAAGAACCCTTGTGGAAATTTGATTCAATGGTCCTTTTTTATTTGATACGTTATCACATTCCTCTGCATGTGGATGATGACATTTGTAGATGTTTCCATGGATGCTTGAGGCTTTAATTCTTGTTAACGTAGTAATATGCATCTGGTATCACCTGTTCACTGAACTTTAAGAATTTTTTCTTGATAACATAAAACTTTTACTATGTGTTTGGGATCGATTGAATTCAATTCAATCCAAAAGAGGTTGAGAAAAAAAGTTACACCAAATTTTACTTTTTTACATTGGAACACGTATTTTTCTATGTAATCTTAAATTAATATTCAAATATATACTATGTGTATTTGGAACTATGGTCACGTCAACGTGAATTCACGAATGAGAGAAGTAAATATTTGTAATTTTTATATTTATTATCAATTCTAACGTAATTTTTGAGTCTAAGTAAATAATGTCATTTCAAACATGTACTAATTGATATCAATTAAAAGGCCAAACACATTAAAGACTTATTATAAACAATTTGTAATCCTATTATGAAATAAGAATTTCTTTAGATAAAATTTTATAGAAACATTTTTAAAAAAACCCTTTATAAATTAGTCTATGCTTTATTTAATGCTCTTTTATCTCCATACTCTATTATACTTGTTTATATTTTTTTATTCTCTTCATGTCACTTTCAAAACTAAAAATATTAGTTATTTATGTGTTTGACTTCTTATCTAAGATGCACGTTTAACATAAAATCACGTAAAAAAATAATGTAAAAATAACCATTAGTTGCTTTGAGGATAACATATTATTAATAAATAAAAATGTTAAGCAACATTCTTGTTTTTTCTTTCCTTGCATATTTGACGATGTACATTTATACCAATATTTTTCTATTAGTTTCATCTAATGATATCTATATCTATACTTTATTTATTTTAAGCAAAGTGTGAACATGTATCTTTTGATAGTATTTTTCAAGCTGAGCTGGTGATTGAGATAATGAGAAACAAAAGTATTATTAAAAGGTAATTTAAGATTGCTTCCATTTTATTTTATGCAAAGTTGATAGATGCACATTGCTTACATAATTTTCTTTCACATTGTGCCAACTATTATTTATTATAAGTATCGTTTCCTCACATCTAAAGCGGTTATTATTAAAAATGAGAAAAAAATGAAAGAAAAGTAAATATGACATAGAAACAAACTTAAATAAAATACTATAGTATTTGTTGTCGTAGTTATATTTTTAAAAAGTATATATTCTTACATTTATATTTTTGACTTTGTGTGAGAGACAACTTGATGCCCATTCTCATCATGTATAAATAAATAAAAATTTGATAATAGTTATTATTTCATTTTTTTTTTTATTGAAAAAGAATAAATTTTAATAATTTGAACTAAAAATTATTTATTAAGTGAAAATAACTTTACTCAATTGATCTACACTCCATAGCTATTATTTTATATTTTAATTAAAAAGATGAAATGTAAGTTATGATGGGCTTAGGTCATTTTTATCTCCCTGAAGAAAAAAGTAGTTAGAACGAGTTATTATAATTTTGTATACTTAGGGAAA